TTTATATATATAAATATATATATACAGTTGAATAACCAAAAAATAATAAATTACTATATCAATACCATAGAATTCCACTGTAATTTATCAAGCTTAGTAACTATGCTGTACTTGGGTAGATATTTGGTATTAAAAATTGTCAGCATATATTTGGTTAGGTGGCCCATCTAACCTATATATAAAAGCCAGCGTGTGTCACATCACATCATAATTGATTTCTCAAAATAGGAGAAGTCATAAAAACCAAAGTGCATTTATCCAGATAGAATAGTTCAATTACTGTCTGCCCATTACAATTTTAGTGATGGGGTTGCAAGGGGGCCATAGAGAGGTGGGTGCCATGAAACCTTATAAGTATAGTGAGTATTGGTATAATAAGCCTAAAGTAAAGACGTAGTGTGGGATCACCTAGCCTAGGACCAAGTGTATAAAATTTATCATGAAAGTAAAAAATATTGATTCAATTTTAAACTTAAATCATTTTTGGATTAAGCTATTTTATGTTATCACCAACGTTTTTAATAAACAATAAAACTTTAATCAATGAAGATATTAGATTAAGAAATCGACAGATATTTTTCCAGCTATGTTGTCTATACATTTCATTTTATTCTCTCAGTACATAATCTAACAAGAATATTAGATTATACTTTTCTTTAGAAATGGTGAAATAATAGGTTGAACAATCACCAAGTTTTCTAAAGAAGGATGATGTTTTGAGCAAACACTCTTCGTCAGATCATACAGTTTACAACAAAGGCACGTGCAGAATTAAAAGAACTTGCGTGCAAAGTATTTGGAATGTTGAGCTTGAAAATTCTAAGCAAAATTAAGTCTTATTACATAAAAATTACAAGTGATGAAATGATAAATAGATAGCAATTAAAATTCAAACAAAAATGGAAAAATAGAAATCTACAGTTAAGAAAAGGGGTCATTTAAACCAGATGGTTGTAGGGTCCCCAGATTGTAGATTGTCCAAAAATATTTAATATTAAACTGCAGAACCAAGATACACCTATCAGCAAACATTTCACCATCAACAACCATACAGTTGAGGACTTTTCATTTTATACTTTCAGTACATAAACTAACAAGAATATTAGATTATACTTTTCTTGCTAAGCAACACGACATAATTGTATAAACTATTTGGTAGGTAAGAACACAAAAAATGTGTATGCACTGGAAGGGAGATTAATCTACAGTCTGGGGACCCTACAACCATCTGGTTTAAATTAATGCTGTTCTTTTCTGTAGATGTCAATTTCCATTTTTGTTTAAATTTTAATTGTCATCCATCTATCTTTTCATGACTTGCAATTTTCATGTAATGGATGTAATTTTATTTAGAATTTTCATGTTCAATATTCCAAATACTATGCACACAAGTTCTTTGAATTCTGGACGTGCACCTTTGTTGTAAACTGTACGATCTGATGAAGAGTGCTAGCTTGAAACGTCATCCTTCTTTAAATAAAAAATATAAAAACTTGGCGATTGTTCAATCTATAATTTAATTTTGATATTTTCGTCACCTGTGCAATTTTAACTACGTCTTGATGTATGGTCAGCAGATAGAATGGTGTAAGTTGACTTGTTGTCCTGCTGACAAGTTGAAATAATATATTCAGTAAATAGTATTTGGGTTTGGTTATTAAACTGAAGTTTGGAAAAGTTGAATATACTAAGTGAATTGGCCTGTTTTGTACTCTTTCTTTTTTTTTATTTGATTTTTGCTTCAATAAGTGTTTTATATGGTTCAGGTGTTAGAATGTTTTATAGAGCTGTTACTTCATTTTTATTTTTTCATTTATTTAATTTTGTTGGATTTCATGTTCTGTTAAAATTGGTAAATTGAGTTCTTGAAAATGAAGTTTTTGGTCCTGGAATATTTTTCTATTAACCTGTTAAGAATATAAATTGTGTGAAAGTAATATAACAAATAAGCTATAGGGTAGGTTAGAACACAAACAAGGTATAATAAAAATGGAATGAGTAAGTTATAGGATAGCAAAGAAAACAAACTATCTATGATAAAATAACTGATCTACAAGGTAAATAAGACACAATCCTTGATAGTAGTTTAATGTAATAACTTGAATTACCTCTTTATAATGCAATATAATTGCATGAGCTTAAAAGTTCACCACAAAAGTTAGATATTTTGCTAGAAAATATTATTTACATATTTATTAAAGCATAGGTTATTTAATTGAAAAATAAAGTAATAAAAATTTGTTTTTTAATAAAGATTATTCTAAAAGTCAAATTATGTACGTGTAAAAAGTTATTTTAAGAGAACATTGAAGTTACTGAGAATCTTAACTACTGGTAGCTGATTAAACAGAAAATGTGCACTAGTCCATGTATAGTGGTGGTGAAATAGATTTGTAGAGTAGCTAAAAAAAATGTTTGAATTAAATTTCAGGGTTGATATGCTTGGTGAACAAAAGTGTGATATGATAAAATAGTAAACTGGATAAAAATATTTTTATCATTTGTGTTTTGTACTTAAACTTGTATACAAGATTTTGTTTATAATATTTGTATATACTGTAATATATATTTAAGTTACAGACAATTCTGTATGCGTTAACTAGGTTTAACTAGTATTTCAATTCCATTTAGCTCTCCTGGAAGCTCGAGGTCTCCCTCCTCATCTCTTTGGAGCCTTAGGGCCACGTATGCAACATTTGTTACATCGGTCAATGGGAAGTAGTGCAAGTAAGAGAGTTCTTAGTATTTTCATTACTCATTTGTATTAGAAGGTAATAGAGTTGAAAAATTTTACCATGTAGACATATTAAATCAATAAGGATAATACAGGATGGTTCAAAATTATCTTTCCTATTTTTAAGATTAACCCTATCATGACAGGCATCCTTTACTGCTTATGTCATGAGGTTTTAGTAACTTATATTCAAGATTTAATTTGTCTACTTTTTGTTTATGTTATACCATTTGGTATAGTATTTAATCATAGCTAATAATCCATATTTTAATAGTATATATGTTTTATATTCTTAATTGAGATGAAGAAAAGTACTTTTATCTTAACATGAAAATCACTTTGGACACATTTTTTTTTTTTAGTTTATTTAAAATACTTCACAGAAAAAGATGTTTTTTTTGTATGTGAAAGACTTGTAATGGTTATTGAAAGACTGCCAAATTTTGTGAAGATATATATTATATAAAAAGTTAATAGTATTAAATCTATAAAGACTACACGAGTACAAAGAGGTCACGTGGTTTGTCAAATCGACCGACTCTGTGTTGAGAGAGTTAATAAATAAATAACTAAAGAAATATAACCATGCAGTTTTCAATGTCTTGTAGCCCAACTCTAAACACTTGTTGTTGACATATCAGTAGACTTTTACATGTGCACCATTAGTGTTTCTCAGCATGTGTAACTGATATTTGATTTCAGGCCTTGTGCACTGCAGCGTCTACAGTTTCAGTAGCGATGGCATCTGTTTTCCTGGTCTTTAGCTCCATGATGTTTGTTACGGGTGTGCAGTACACAATGTCCATAACATACCTCCAAAGAAAAATCTAGTAGAGTGATGTCTGGCAAATGTGAAGGCCATAGAGTTATCTCACCCTGATCAATCCATCACATTGAGTCTTTTCTTGCACATTTGCCATTTTATGGGGTAACACTACTCGCTGGAGTGAAAAAAAAAATCTTTGAGTTGGACTACAAGGTGTTGAAAACTGCATGGTTGTGTTATTTTAGTTATTTGATTATTACATTTGAAAATAGGAAAGATAATTTTGGACCACCTTGTACATCATGTACTTGATAGTTGAGTTACTTGTACAAGCCTTGAACATGACAGAAGGTATTCATATTATTTTTTATCACTAATAGGTAGCAAAGCCCACCAATTACTTCAGGGACTGCAGGCTACTGGAGATGAGGGTCAACAACTACAGGCTGTTATGGAGATGTGTCAGTTGTTGGTGATGGGTAATGAGGACACACTGGCTGGCTTTCCTGTAAAGCAGGTAGTTCCTGCCCTCATCAATCTCCTGTCAATGGAACACAATTTTGATATGGTGAGTTTCATTATCAGTTAGTTTTTACATCAAAACTTATATTCCTCTTTATCATAATACACATTTTTTGTAGTTAAAATCTAAACATGGGCTTTATATTCTTTGGGTGTTTTTCTCTAATATGTTTTTGTTGCATATAACACTGACTTATTATGTAGTTAGGCATTCAGTGGTCAGGAATCATGTTGTCTTTTAACTAATTTTCTTGAATATGTTTTCACAGTAGGTAGATATAAATTTTTTTATTGATGGTTATATAGTTTTTTTAATGCCAGGTAGGTATTGCCAGTATTGCTGTTCTAAATTAAGGTTGTATTGTGAATTATTGTTCCATTCATAATTAATTTGTATTATAGGTCTTGTATTGTCTAAAGTAATTATATTGTGTTCTAGATGAATCATGCCTGTCGTGCTCTCACTTACATGATGGAAGCTCTTCCAAGATCTTCTGCTGTTGTGGTTGATGCTGTACCTGTATTTTTAGAAAAGGTATTGTTTCTGAATTTTTGAATATGAAGAATAACACTAAAAATAAAGTTATTTTTATGATATTATCTTCTGATATATTTACAAAATGTCTGGAAAGCTTGAACTTCTTGCTTTGTGTGGAATTTGAAAAATGTTGGCAGTGATGACATTATTCTGACTGATTTTTGTCTTGAAAGAACTAGTCTGCTTTACTGGATTCTGAGCCAACTTAAAATTTAAAGTACGATGCACTATATTGGTTGCCCCATATCAGTTTAGTCACAAAACCTTTTTACCAAAAAATTTCTTGTAATAATATCAAGTTGCAAGTCCAACTTGACTGAATGTTTGCAATTCTATTACTTATAATTTGGATGATTAAATTTTTTGAAAAATCATTTTCTCCTAATTACTTCAATAGCAGGAATTCTACCTTTCAGTGTGAGGCTTCTTAACAGCAGATGAACATTTAATATATAGTTTGAAAACATTAAAAACTAGTATTCATCCTACTGAAGAGTTTTTTTCTTAATTTTGTATTTCTCAGCTGCAAGTAATTCAGTGCATGGATGTTGCTGAACAGTCTCTTACAGCCCTTGAAATGTTATCTCGCAGACACAGCAAGGCTATCCTCCATGCTGTAAGTACTGCTATTCTTTCAATACTATTTTCACTTGATTGTATTTTGTATAAAAACAACTGCACTTTCCTAGATATATTATAGTGGTTTCAAGATATAATTGGTTTATATAGTCATTTTTTACACTTAGCAATGCTAGATAATAGTAATTTAACCACAATTGTTGATGTCAAAAGCCAATTATTATACCTTATGAATGTGTTTTGTTGTTTTTCAGAGAGGAGTTTCTGCCTGCCTTACGTACTTGGATTTCTTCTCTATAAATGCTCAGCGAGCTGCCCTCACAATCATGGCCAACTGTTGTCAGAATCTGATGACTGATGAGTTCCACTTTGTGCAGGAATCTCTGCCAATTCTGAGTGCTCGTCTCACCCAGCAGGACAAGAAGTCTGTAGAGAGTGTGTGCTTGGCCTTTTCACGTTTTGTGGACTGTTATCAAAATGATCCTAAGATCTTGATAGAAATAGCTAATCATGGTCTTCTCAGTAATATTCAGCAGTTGGTATGTTAGAACAAAATAAATATCCTCTTCGTTTTTATACAAAGTATTTATAGCTATATTTTCAAGATTTGGAACTCCAATACAGTTTATAATTTTACTTAAGTTCCTGAAAATAACTTTCACATTAATACTCCTTACTGATTAAAATAAAAAAAAAAAAACTGAAACCTATAGTTTAAAGCATAGAAATTAACTTGTTATTATATTCAGTGATTTTATTTCCTTGCATTAATATTAACTTGAAGGTTTTAATGACTCATTTTGTTAGTGGTATCAGTTTTCATAACCTTACTCAAGGGCCACACAGTCAGGCTAAGTACCTTTAAACTTCACATTCAAAGTCTTGACTTTGCTATTTATTTTCCCCTATGGCAAAGTTTGATCGAAATGCCTTCATTTTTCATCTCAGTTTGTCACTTGCCATGCTGAAAACAAAAAAAAACTATTATCACACACTTGATTTACAGACTTTTGATATAAACCAATCAAATTGCTGATACACTACATACTTATCCATATTCTCCCAACTTGACATGCATAATATAGGCATTAGCCAATCAGCACTCTTGATCCAACCTTCCCACAAATTACACACATCAGTTGTTGTCAAAACAAAGAAAAATTGATTGTATATTTTATTGATAGACCAAATTAGATAATTACTATTACTTGATTATGCAAGGGGTTTTATGATGATTGGGAAAGGTTTCGTGTTCTTTCAGCAAACGAATTGCTGTATTTTTGATTGGATTGTTTATCATGAAAAGTAATCTTTAATTATGCAAGATATGTGCCATAAAGCAGTATCAGTTTGTCTTCACTCATTACAGATACTGCATTTAAAGCATTCAATCAAATTAAACTTAAATGTTGCTGCCCATAATTGCATTTTATGTTCACCCATGTCTCTATCAAATTGGTTAGGGGTAAAACCTTTAGGAAAATTTGAGTCAAATTCTGACAAGAAATAAAAGGCTAATGGAAAAGTTAGAGTGAAAAGCTAAAAAAAACAACAACAAACTTTTGAACCAGAATGGCACTAGTTGGTATGTGTAAGGTACCAAGATTGTGGCACTGCTGAATTTGAAAAACATAAGAAAAAGCAGTGCATGGACACAAAAATCCTGCTGAGACTACAAATCATGACCAGCTTTCAAAATGTAAGTTAAAAAAGAAAAAAAATGCATTGAATTTAGAAAATGGTTTTTTACTGCTTTGAATTAAATGGATTTTTGATTCAAATTACAAAAAATAAAATGCTTTTCTTAGATTCTAAAGAAAATGTTTAAAAAAATATAGACAAAGGTGTTCAGGCTAACATATATATCTTTATATCTACATCTAATGGAAATAATTAACCTCCTTAATAAACAATATTTCCTTTATTAGATGGTGTTTTCACTTTGCAAATGCATTTGATACAGAAATATGAAGTTTTCCTTTTCATAAACTTATTCTGGTTGGCACCTGGGGGATAAGTGACTTCTCCTTATTTTGGGAGTATGGCTTGACCCATGTTTACTGATTGGTTTAATTTCTGAGTAAGAGCATTAAGCAAACTACCTTTTTCCAAAATTGATATTATTGATGTGTTAACTTTAAAATTTAACACTAGCAATAAACTGTTAGATTGAAGAAACCTTGAAACAATTTGCTAGTGTGATATCAATATGAAAATTAAACAGGGTGAAAAAATTTTTTGTAATAGCTTATATTTTCTCTCTGTGTATCTTAGTCATATGGAATATTTGTATTCGTCAGTTTAATGCAAAAAGTTGGTGTTGATGACACAAACTTTCTCTAATTTTCTAATTTATATTGTGAATATTACAAAAGAGTGTCTATTCATTATTTGTTTACTTCTGTTTTAGTTAATGGTGACTCCTCCCGTCATTAGCTCTGGCACATTTGTGATGGTATTGAGGATGTTGGCTATAATGTGTGGCTCATGTCCTGAGTTGGCAGTTCAGTTGCTTAAACAAAGTAAGTAATTAGATTATGATGTTGTCTAAACATTAATTATTGTATTCTGTTTGTAAACTTGTAATATAACCAACTGCCTTTATGTAGTTACTCTGTCAGATTCCCCCTCTTTCTTTACAGTATATACTAAGATATCAGCATTACTTCTTGTCTTAGTAGTTCAGTGAAATCTGTAGTATACTTCTGTAAAACTAATCATAACACTTTTTATGGGATTATTTAGCAAATACATTAAATTCTAACAATGTGAATGCAGACCATGAATCACTTCCATGTAATTACTTGAAATAACCATCTATTTAAATCGTCTATTTCAGTAAAGTTTGGTCAAGCATGCCACCATTAATCAGAAAAAATAGAATGGTTAGTTTGGATCTCTGCAATTACCATTTCCTCAATATATTAAATAAATGCAAGAAGGTTAAAATATATATATAACTACTCCCTCTAAATTGCATACTTGAAATAACTAGATGATTAAAATCATGTATGGAAATTTGTGTAATGTAGGTAAATCTAGGATTTACAATTGTACTAAGTGAAATCAGGTTTGACATTGTTAGTTAGTTAATGGTAGCATTTATACATTTATGTTATAAGAGTATTCCATATAATCAATTGGCAATAACATGTTCCTAATATATTTTCGTACAAGATGATGTGTGTGTGTGCCTTTAATCCATATGAATACAACAGTGAAAAGTGAGAATGTAATATGAAACTCTTTGTAGCCATTATAACTATATTCAGTATTAAGAGTTATATGTTTCTATATTAATTAATCCAAGTACAACATATCCTCACATTAATGATGTTTTTTACAGTCAAATATTTTAAGAGTTTTTGTGTTATAGATATAGCAGAGACTTTGAGGTACCTTTTGATGGGCAGTGTTGATCCTGTATCAGACGAAATTGAGGTAATTCATAAGTATCATTATAGATACATGCTTATTACTGTTATAAAAGTATTTCATCAGCATATCTATTTGATATAGTTGTACTTATAAAATTCACTTTTTTTTTGTGTTTACTGGTAACTTTAACACATCAAATTGTGTAAATTAGTCATCCTTGTAATGTAAAACAAATAAAATTTGAACCTATTATTTAAAAAAAAATTTATTAAAAGGTATTTAAAAATTTTCATTCTAGCTTATTCCCAGAAGCCCCCAGGAACTGTTTGAAATCACATCTTTAATTGGGTAAGCATTTATGAACAGTTTTGAAATTTGACATAAAATTATTTAAATATACTTGAAGGTTTTGGATGATAACAGTAATAAACTTAAGGAACACCACTGTTTCTAAGCTGTTTCTTTATGATTCAAATCTGCATGATGTGTGTTTGGGTGTTTTCAGAGAGCTTATGCCACGATTACCCATGGATGGCATATTCAGTGTGGATGCTTATCTGGTGAAACCTACAAGCAGCCACTCGGATGCTGTAGTGTGGCAATGGAGAGATGATAGAGGAGCTTGGCATCCATACACTGGGATAGATAGCAAGATAATAGAGGTATAACAGTAGAACAAGTTGTATAGTGCATAAGTCCAAAGCAGTTAAAAAACTTCATCTATTTAAGAGGAGCAAATATAATGATATAAATGCCAGACTAGTTTCGGAGAATTCCACTCCTCATCAGTGACCCTGGACACTACCACCAATGAAATATCAGACCAAACCAAGTCTTTATAATAGTGAGGTATCGAAGAGGTTTATTTAAATAAATTAAAATGTGGCAAAATATCACAATTTCTTCAAATACCTGTAGAATGATAGGTTTCTTTTTTGTGAGTGTAAAACACTTAAATACACTATTTAATAAGTTCAGTTTTGACCTCCTTAGGACATACCCCATAGTTCATAGTGTTTACATACAAATTGTTGGTTATAATTGGCCCAAAAAGCTTGGAGGAGTTAGTGCGCAAACAAACACACATTTCATCTTTAGATATATAGATTTATTGAGCTTGAAATGTTTAAAATGATGTTTCTTTGTTAATTTCTCAAAGTTAATTAAGTTTCATGTTCTGAAACAAAGGATTTAGCTCTCATCACCATTAGATTTACTTTTAGTAATTATCTGAAAGAAATTTACACAATAAATACAGTATTATTACAAAATGTATTGCAGGCAGCCCATCAATCTGGTGAAGATGAAATAAGTTTATCAACTATGGGAAGAACATATACTATTGATTTCAACTCCATGCAGCAGATTAATGAAGACACTGGAACTACAAGGCCAGTGCAGCGAAGGGTTAACCATTGTTCTGGAACATCATCAGGTGAGAAGTGCTTTTAGGTTTTTGTCTCCTATCATTTCACTTAATAAAATTATAAGTTTAAAAAATAAATTATTTTGAATCACGAGTTTATTTTAGAAAAGACCAGAATAAAAAATTAGCTGTGATAGAGTAGTTTGATTTCAAGGGAGCACTCTTGAAGTACGTTATTGCATTTGAAAAAAAGGTTCATTGTTCTTATATGAGTTCTACTGCTATGTAGTAGGTTTGTCAGTAATTTAAAACTTGTATATTGTTGATAGTGTGTTAACAGCATTGATATAGAAATGGGGGCTGTATTTCAGAAGCAGAATTTTTCTATTACAGGCATTATTCATGAAATATTATTTTTTTGCCAGTGTCAACTTCAAGTATCAGCAGTATTGATTCCAGAGTGGATTGTCTCCATGAGAACACTGAACTTGCTGCATCCTTCATCAAATCTTTGTTTGCAGTACTCTATGAAGTTTATAGCAGTTCTGTGAGTTGTTTAACTAAAGCATAATGAAGTGAATTTATACACAAAGAAAACTGTTATTAGTATCTGTTCTCTCAGAAATTGGTATAGTTTCAAAAAGAGAGAGTTTCTTTGTGTGATATTTTTTGTCAAAATCATTTTGAAAACATACTTTCACATTTTGTTCTACAGTAAAAACATAGTTCATTTCAGTTTAACAGTTATGCGATTTTAGTTCTATTATCAAATCAATAATAAATATTTTGAGCAGTAATACCCAGAAAATATTATAATAATTGAATAGGAAAAATACTTAGTTCTTTATTAAGGTAACAGGGGATTTTAAGGTATTAAAAAGTTCTGTCATTTGTATACATGTTAAAATAATGCATTTTGTTTCTTGAAAATGTTATTTTAAAACAAGGATCAGTAAGATTGGTCTACATTTTTTTATTAACATGTCTTTTATTCCACAGATTGTTTATGGAAAGGATGTCATAGTTACAGTGGTTATGAAGTTTTTGACAAATATATAGTAATGCGTTACATATTTTATTGATTAAGAAACAAGTAAGAAGTTATTAAAATATCACGCATTGTTTTTAGGCTGGGCCTGCTGTGAGACACAAATGTCTACGAGCACTTCTAAGAATGGTTTACTTTGCTCCACCAGAACTATTGGGTAAAGTTCTAAAAAATCAAGTAGTATCAAGGTATGTTAATAACGTAGCTTATACTATAAATATATAAGTATCTTTATTTATTTAGTACCCTCGTGGTTAGCAGTTGGCTTCAGGGCTTAAAACTAAAATCTCTCGGTGGACAGTAAAATAGTCCATTATGCAGCTTTGCACTGAAACAAACCTTATATAGAATGTTTGTATGGCAAAAGAGGAAAGGGATGATATTTTTTAATTTTAGTTTGTGATATCATATTGTCCTTACAAATAAGTGATAGATTTATAGGAAAATTCGTTTTAACTTCCTAACTTTTCATACTTTGGTTAGTTTCATTGGAAAAGATTTTTTTAACACACATATAAACATATGTTTTTTATATTTAAGTATTTTAGTAATCTGTCTTGAAGATTCATGTTGGCAAAAAATATATGCTATTTGGTTTTGTTTTATTAGAAAACCTAGTTTTTCAGTTTTAAAACAATTTGTGTTTTAATATTTTAGAGTAGAATTTTCATACTGGGGAGGCTGGTTATAGCAATTGACATCAGAAAATAGGTTCCTTCTGTTTCATAACCTGTGTATACCTAATTTAATTATGCATACAAGAAGGTCAGAGTGCACATATCATGACCTTTTTACATTCAGAATTTAAGTGAACTTTATTTTAAATTTATTTAGTAAGATTGGCATTGAAACATGTTTTATAATTCAAAGTTTTATTTTATCTAAGTTTTAATGTTTCATTTCAAAAGGAAATATGACAGTTTTACAAAAAAACTTTTGATATTCTTTTAGAAGGTTGTAAAGCTTATGCAAATGAAATATGAAAATTGTAAGATGAAAAAGTTTTTATTCTTAACATGAAAATCACCTTATACTCAACTCTATTCAGTCTCAGCTAGTCTGACTCAGTAAATTCCTAGACAAATCTTCAGTAAAAACACTTTATTAAAAGTCCTGATTTTTTAATTTTTTTTATGTTTTCATGGTTTACTAAAAACTTGCAAAAGTTTGTGAAGGTGCATCTAGTAAATTTAGAATTATAGAAACATTACTTCTTCAGTATGGTATCATTTGACTGACCCATCCACATGGGGTTAACGGTGGCTGACAAAACAGCAACTAAAAACAACAAATGGATGCTAAAGCATCTGTAAATGGCATCTTAAATAGTTTAAAAACACTCCCTAACTAAGTATTGATATATGCTTTATATAATGGTGGATTTTAGAAGTGAAGTTTTTTTTCTCCTATCTGATATGATGTACGAGCATGGAGAAAGATACATGCAAGTCATTGACTTAAAGGACATACCTCTATGATAAGTTGCTCTACTGTGTGTTGCAGAATTTTTTGAGAAGTATCAGTACAAATCTGTGGAAAAACATGCAACAATCTGTAGAAACTTTGAACAGATATCCATGGAGAAATTTTGTGTGACTCTGCAAAGCATATTCTTTGTTTATTATTTAAGTAATAATGGCTCATTATGAAAATGCAAAACAAGTAGACCTAACAATATCAAACAATGTACAGGTAAAATACTTGCAGTTTAATGTATCAAGCATTTGGTGAATAAAATCAAAAGTACAATGTCATTTATGCGTAAATTACAAAAAAAAACTAGTGTAAATAGCCTCACTTGCTTTCTTTGAGTAAACTATCTTTTTTTTCCCCGTTCTTTATTATATTCCATTTATTATATGTATAATACTTGGTAAATATACTAACAGTTGATTCTGATGTGAGATCTAAACATCTGTAAACCTAATGTGATGTATTAATGCAGTTATTGTTGTTACTAGTATTTTCTGTTTTTTGTTGTTTTATTTACAGCCATGTAGCAGCCATGTTGTCATCTCAAGATTTGCGGGTTGTGGTTGGAGCACTACAGATGGCAGAAATTTTGATGCAGAAACTTCCTGATATATTTGGGGTTTATTTTTGCCGAGAAGGTAAGTGTATTAAGTTCATTACCTATATGCTTTATTATGTCAGTAAGTTTTAAAATGCTTCTTTTAGGAGTCTCCAGTAATAGGTGTTGTGGTTTAACTTTCATCTAGATTTTATAGTAAATGTATTCTAGTGGCTGTAAGTTTTTTCCAACATAATTTTTACTCTCATCAGATTTTTTTAACCTTTGATCTTTATTTTTTAATATTTAATTGCCATAAAAGGTTTATATGTGAAATAATATGTCATCAAGGTAAATGAGCCAAAACTAGAATATGATTCATAACAAATTCCATTGGTAAATTTCTAGAAAAAGTTTATATGAAATAATAGAAAAAAAAATTTTTATAAAGACAAGTAGTGATCTATATATACGTAACCTAGCTAGCTGTAGTAACATACAGTTTTAATGCTACAAAACATAATGAAGGAAAAAAGTCAAACTACAAAAACTGAGTTACTTTACAACATTGTAGGTCCATTTTATTGTTGTATAGAAGATATTTTAAAGTGATTCATCAAGTGGAAAACGAAGTTTTATAATAATAGAATGTATGAAAAGTGGCCCGGAAAACGGTGCTAACTCGGTAACCCGTGGCCCGATTTTAACTAAACTTGTGTTATTCTGTTTCTATTCTCATTTCATTACAAATATGGCACTATTGTGCACTGTTTTTGCTGTATTTAATTACAGACAAGCACACACACAAACAATCTGAGTTTTAGAAGTATATATATATATGTATACTAGTATCTCTTTCGATACAAGAAAGGAATCATTGGGACTCCAGACAGAAGAGTTCTGTGAAAGAATTAGAGCAATAAGGTTCGTCATTTTTTTCTGTGTGCTTCTGGAAAAGTCGTTTACTTACTTACGTAAATGAAAATTTGTTGAAATAGTAAAAAATTGATTCACTCCATAAACACGTAGCAGTTTGGGTGGTTTTATAAGTGCAATAAGCTTTAGTTTTGCTCAGCCAGTACTGTCAAATAGTCATTGTTAATATTCAGACATTTTACAGGTGGTTTTAAATGGGCAATATTTATGTCCACCATTTTGTTTCATCATGATCCCTAATATAAAGTGCTACTGTACTTAATGATATTGTTGAGTAATTATACAAGATTGTCATTTCCGTATTTCTCAAGCATTTTTATTTCTTCATGGAACATCCCTTTCTAATTATATACAATATTTAGAAAAAGTAATTAAAGTTATGGGAAAAACTAAACGAAAGTTGCATCCTTAATCTGAATTTTCTTTTATAGCTAGACTTAATTATATATTGATGCAAATAGCTTATTGTACATTTGGATGTGTGTGTGTATGTATGTATATATATATATATATATATATATATATATATATATGTATATAGTACATCATAAGACTTAAGCCCACAACTTTCAGAGTTGTATGTAATAGCAAATGTATGTGGTTTGAATAGCATGCATGAATTTGAAATAAATGTGAAGTTCAACATAGTGTATGACTGTTTTATTAATAATTGAAACTTTGTTGTTATAGGTGTTATGCACCGGGTCAATGAACTAGCTAAAGCAGAGCCTCAACAGAATAGTCCTTGTGCTAAGGATCTGTCACAATATTCATCTCCTCCAGTTCCAATATCTTTAAGCTTTAGCCCTTGTGAAACTACTCTCCCATTGGCCAATCCCCATACTGGTTCATCTTCAGCAGATGGCTCTCTGCACTTTGTTAGCAGTGTTCTTTGGGGATCTCCTTCCTCCTCCTCCTCAGTATCATCAGGACCGATGGGTCTTCGAGTTCTGCCCCCTAACCCCTCCAATCCAGATGAGGATCATTGTTCTTCAATTGGTCAAATGTAAATATAAATATATATATATATAGTATATATAAAGAAATATAGTATATAGTAATTAATTGTAATTTGTGAAGTCTTAATTTTCTAGTTATTTTTAGTTTTAAAATATAATTTTCAGAGTTGTTGAGTTAGATTTTTCATTGTATATGATCTATGGAAAATTTGTAAGAACAAACCGATTGAAAATATTCAGACTTTAAATCAACAAATAATAAATTACTTTTCTTTCACCTAAAATTACAATGAATTAAGTAGAATTTTTTTTTAACCCAACTTGTAGAACTATTCAGTTTTGAAATAAAATTATTTGATATACTGTCCTAATGTTTGTTAGAAATTTTATTTTCATTGATTCGTAATATTAATTATATTCAGTAATAATAAAATTATATATGTGAGTCTACTTAGGCTCCTAAGATTTGATTGGATTGCAGTAAATCAACCCACTAATTGCCTGACCACAACACATAGTATGATATTTCATACACCTCGTTAAAAAGCTTTACGAGTTTAGGTTAGCTCAGTTGGATAGAGCATTGAGCCTGTTGGCCAAAGGTCCTGCGTTGAAGCCATAGTCCCAGAGTTTCTTTTCATTTACAATAATGTTTGTTAAAATGTTTCTCTCATTAATTCATAATATGCCATAAAGTATGTTACATAGATATATATTTTAGTAGACAAGTTTCAGATGTTTGATTTGAAGGTAAATAATCCAAGCAATTTATGGATAATTTTTGTAATCACTTTTTTTTTTTGTAGGCGTCTTAGTGATGTGCTCAAGAGAAAAAGGACTCCAAAACGTGGAAATGCTACTAGTCGTAAAGTACGCACAGAAGACAGCCCCAGAGATTCTGTGAATAGTAATTTTTCTTTTCGAAGCTCAAGTCGAAATGAGCGGACTTTTGATAATTCTCCAAGTCAGTTATTAAGTGCTTCTGTTTTGTCAGTCCCAGCCTCTCCTGCAGCAAGCCTTCACTCTCCCTTGCCTGGTGGTTCTGTTTCAAACTCAACCAATTTACAGTGTACAGGAGTAGGTCACTCTGGGAGAGGACGTCTGAGTACAGCTGCTGCAAAGACTTCTTCTTTCCTTGCCAGTCTTAATCCTGCTCGATGGGGTCGGTGGAGCAGCACTTCTCCTTTACCAGGAAGATCCTTGAGTTCGGTAAGTCAATACATTCATTGTCTGTGTACTAAAAAATTTTGTATTATTATGATGATGATGATGCAAGTTTTATTCTGTTAACATGATATTGAGACTTGTATTGCTTTACTAGATTTTGAGCCAAACTAACAATTAATAAAGTACACCTCAGTTCTCAGAGATTCAGAGATAATGTTATCAGACCAATAGAATATAGTTTCTTGTAGATATACTAAGTTGAACTAATTTATGTAGGTCATGTTTTACATCAAATTATCCATTAGTTATGTTGGTTGTGATAGGTAAGGCTTTGTGTATCCTTCTCATGTTCTGCCATACAGGTGCATAATGAATGGCCTGAATCACCAATGTGTGTATCTGAGTATAATGGCCATATTTTGTTTTTGTATAATTGGGTTTGATAATCATAGGTATATGTGATACTCCTGGTTTTTGAATTAGCTCCATTAGGTGAGCCACTACAGGCAACAAAAGTATAAAATGTATAAAAATTCAAGGTAAAATTTACTGATGAATTTGAAAACAAAGTTTCATGCAACAACTCTTCCTGTGGTTTGCAACTTTGTCAATTAACATATTTGAATTTGGTGAATGTTTCATATTGTTTTTCTTCTACATTTTGTCATATATCTCATTTCAGTATTATTTTGGAAAGTATTTAATAATTGAGAATATAACTTTATTAGTAGCAAAAGTTTCAGTGATAGTCCAAATTGATAATAAAATAGTATTAGGCTTAATCAAAGTATGCTTCTGTTGCCATAAAATAACACCACTGATCTAAATCTAGTTTATGTGAAAATAATGTAATAGTGTTCAGTAAATGTTCTTATAAGTTTACTATTTACCATAAAATAGTTTTGTAATTGATTGATATATAAATATTTTTACTTTATGAATTTCTGTTTCTGAAGGAACCATCTACAGACCAAAAGGCCACAAGCTGTACTAATTTGTCTGGGAATAGAGAGAAAATTAAAGCTTGGATCAGAGATCAAGGTAAACTTCAATGTCATAATTATAGAACAAACTGATGTTCAGTCAGTGGTCAACAGAGAACACTTTTCTGTCTGAGATCACACTTTGTAATGTAAATGCTAACCTGTTTTATAATAAATACTTTTTTTTTAATTTACTTAATGTAAGCTTACAGTGTCATTGATGAGATCAATTTAAAATGATTATGCCGATTAACTTTCTAAAATACAGGAAAGAATGATAGTATACATGTCCACCAACTATGGGTACAGAGCATATATTATATATAGTCTGCTACTGGTGATTTTTAATTGGTTGAAGTTGTCACTTTTGTGTTAACTTTCATTTATTGAAGAAACTAAAAATAATTTCCATTTGGAACATAATCTAGCTTTTGCAGTATTAATTGTATATTTAATACTTTAGCAACGAACTCCTAATAGTCAGCAGAAAATTACTACCTAAAAATAAATAAATGCATACATTGATAAAGCAAAATTCCAACTGAAACCAATACCTTGTTTTCAACATTATTACGTTTATGGAAGACATATTTTGAACACAACTTTTAATGGTTTTTGTTTTCATATTGTAAAATCTGAACTTTAGTTTGGTCCATTTTATATAACACTAACAGTAAAAGAAGTATCCTTCTTACACCATAAAATAAATTATTACTAATGTTTTATTACAGTAATTATTGTATTATTGAAATAATTAATATGTACAACAGATCAAATGGTTCACCCATTAAGCTGTCTGACATTGTTTCATAGTCACACATTTTGCGCTAGTGGTATTCCATATGATATTCTTTGTTACTGCTCTTTAGTATTTAAACTGCCATTAATACTGTTAGCTTGATGCTTTAATGTTAGCATAATATCTGTAAAATAATTGTTCATGTTTCCTTTTTAATAGAATTTGATTATGCATAGATACATTACTATCTGCACTTGACTCATTATTCCCTATTTAGTTAGGCTATATGAGGTATAGATATGAAAACATGTCACTAACAGGAAAATTAAAGCAGGATATAAAATCTTTCCAATATTACAAAAACTAGTGTTTAAAATTCAGTCTTGATCAATTAAGAGATTAGTATGACTATAGTGTACATAATGATGAAATACCTTTAATAATGTTCCTGGTAATTTTTACACATTTGACCTGACAGTTTTTTGTTGTTGTTTTTTTTTGTTTGTGTGTGTGTGTGTGTGTGTGTGTGTGTGGCATGTTTCTTTAATATTTCACAACTATCATGCCTTGTTTCATTTGTAAACATCTAATAGTTGCTTTATATTGACACTTGACAATGTCTATTTTATGCTAAGCTTATATTTGAAGACATTAAATTGAAAGAGGTAAAGCCTATTAAGGAAAATGCTAAGTGTTTGTGACTGTAATCCCTAATGTTTTTAACTATTATTCATTCATATTTTTCAACGAAAAGCAGGCATTTAATACTTAATTTAAAAAAATTATGAAAAGATCAAGATTGGCATTTCTCAGTCTGTGGGTTATAAGATGTTAGCTCATTGTATGTACTAGTTGAATCCATTTTAGTGTGTTGTTAACAATAAGTAAAATTAATGAACTATTATGCACAGCTCAAAAGTTTGAGAACCAGTATTTCAAGACAGAAAATCATGGAACTTTACATCCAGCTATGAATGTTCTTAATCGAATCACCTCATCTTTGGAACACCTTGAAAATGTTGTAAGTAAAAGATAACTTTGTCTTACCATAACTACCTAAGGTTATGTGACTTTTAATTGGGTATCAGAAGTAAAAAATAATGAATGAATGAATGAAGTTTTTACATTATTTTAAGTTGAAATTTAGTGCAATATAATTATTTTAGTACTTGCTGTTCAGTCCAATTACAAAGTGAATCGATATTTAAATTACTTTGAAAAAGTAATGTGAAAGCATATAGCCTTGCCATTTGATTCAAGAATCAATAATTCTTAATCTTTCTCACAGGCTGATGGAGGACTGAAAGCTCTAGAAGAGATTCGTGATGTGGTAGTAGAAAGTGATATATCTTCATTTGAAGTCATTCACAGCAAATTGGTTACAAAGTTGTTACACTACTTGACAGCTGCCAGTGGTTATGGAGCCTGTAGTAGAGATGACCGTCTACGAATATTTCTTCATGTTTTCAAAAAAGCTCCAGTATGTTTCAGCTGTGAATATTTATATCAAAGTGACTGTTTGATGTTTTTTTTACATTTATTAACACTATTCTTATTATTTATTGATATTTTATCAGTTAATAATGTGTTGTAGTACTTCATAGTATGTTAAAGTTCTATTTAGTGGTATAGTAGTTAGGGCAAAATCTAGCTAGTCACTGTAGACAGTAGGTTAATTTAATTATTCCTTACAGCTTAATAAATATTTGCATGTTGAGAGGTCATTTTTCATATAGAACTTTCTCCTGTGTTTTAGAAATAATGATATTCCTAATGTCTATTTTGTATTCAAATCTAGTATTTTTAAGTACAGTAGTACTTAATAATGTGGGTTGACAAGATTTCCAAATAATTCATAGGCCAAAAACTACACTGTTGAATTTCTAGGCAAAACAACAACCATTTAAACTATTGGTTATTATATATTATGTGCATATATACTAATAATATGCTAAAAAGGTTGCTAACATTTCCAGTATAACAATTCAAAAACATCTAAAACAGCAACTTTTTCATCTACTACGTACCTGATCACGTCAGTGAAGCTAGCCTCTAGACGGCTTGAACTATCACTACAAGATTTCTCCAGCTTACTTGACTGGTCTGTGGGTGTACGCTTTTGATATTCCAATAAATATATACAGATTTTTTCATAAATGGTAAACATGCACATAATTAAATATCTTTTAAACTCAATTCAACCCAACTGATGACACCACATATTGATGGATAGACATGCTACAGTTTCTAAAGGTAAAGTTTATACTTTATACAGGTATAACATAAAAAGTAAACAAACAAAAGTATTAAAAATTATGAATTTTAAAATGAAGTAGAGATCCTGCTATAAAAAGTAATGAAAAAAAAGAATTAAAACCACAATCACAAATTTATAAAATTTAATCCCAATTTTGGCAGTTTTATACACTTATCTGTAGGCCAAAGTAAGGATTACATTTTATAAATTTGTTGTGTACATTCCATGAACATATAAAAACTGAACAAATAAGTTGGAAAAAAAATTAATTTAGACTGCTTCATTTCGCTACACAGATTACAATGCCAACCAAAGTAGGGATTGAAAATCATTTTAAAATCTATCTAACTAGTATCACTTTACTTGTTTGTGTACTTTTTATTGCAGCATTTATTTTGTTTTGGATACATCTTATAGCAGTTCTACGAATAACCAACAATCCATACTTACCATTAAAATTTTAATTTTTCATATTGGTAATAATATCTGTGGTTGTTACTGATATTTTAAGTATTTTTTTTCATTTACTATTGAAATTCTAGTTTATACCCTTTCCACAAAATAACTAGAAAGTCAAGACTACAATAAATAAAAGTTAATCACCAATAAGATTGGATAATTGTTCCTTAAAATTGGTTTCTTGAAAGTTGAATACAAATCAAGTTTAATTTTTCAGTTGTTTAAGATCTCAACACTGGAGTTAGATAAACTTGACCCTTCTCCCCTCTCTGCTCTTGTTGCAAAATTGAATGCCTGTGTAAGCCAGCTAGAACAGTTTCCTGTAAAAGTTCATGATTTACCAGGTGGTGGTGGTACAGGGAGCAGCAGAGGAACAAGCACCCTCAAATTTTTCAACACCCACCAGCTCAAGGTAATACATATTTTTAATTGTTACTATAAAACTACTTATGAATGGGTTTTTCACTTAGAAAAAAACTAAATTTTGTTTCTCATGTTTTTAAGACTTAAAATTTAAGTTGGAATAATGAACTTAAGCATAAAGGATTTACTAGCAAAATTAAAACTATTCTCCAGGTTGAAATGCACAGAAACTTTATATAATAGAGTACACTGTTTTATAAAAGACTTAAAAATTTATATTTTATATTTATATTAAAAGTTTATATTATGTCCTCTTTGGAATAAGCCTTTAGTTTTCATGAAATGTTAAGTTATTTCTGGAAATTAAAAAGACAACAAAGATATTTAACATTGATTTTATTCCAATTTTTTTAATGTTTTTATACTTTTAACCTCAGTTACAACATTAAATATTTATGATTTCAGAAATACTTCTTAATATTAAATGAATCAGGTAAGAAGGAATAGTATGAATATTGATGCTAGAAAGAAAGAGAAAAATATCCAACAATCTGAGACCACAAACTCAAGATCTCTTATTTCTGCTTATAAACAGCTCATTAGTTTTTGGCAAGACTTGAATGTTTAGGTTGTACTATTGTGGCTTTGAGTGTAAATAAAATAATTTTTACTTCAAGAAACTAGTGGCCAAAATTTCCTTTTAAAATCATAAAATATTTTTCCTTCAATTTTGTGCAATACAATTAAAATTTTTTTTATCTATTATTCAATGAATTATTGAGCAAAAGATGTTTTAAGTTCCTGAAATTTCTGATACAAACATTATCTAACCTACTCTGCATAATACTTAACTACTGTTCATATGATATTAAATATAGAAATATAACCTAGAACATTCTATTCCATTGTTACAAAGGAAACATTTTATATCAGGAGTTTTTCTTAAAAAGAAAATCATTCCTTCAATTTTTGTAACATTAAATCTTCTGAAAGATTTAATTTAAAGTTGTAGGTTTCTCTGGGCAGCAAGCAGTTGGTTCATTACTTATGTTTTAACAGCAAGTCTGTCCTGATAGGACTGGATGAGGACAGAAATTTTGGCTCATTGGCTTTTGCCTCTATTATGTGAAAAAGATAAAGCTGGATTTATAAAAATGGACTTTGAAATAGTTCTACAAAGACAGATTCTTTGTTAAAAGTAAAAAATACAATTAATTGTTTTTCATTTAGAATTTAGAGGAGGTACTTTTCTTTATTTTGCATCAGTATTGACACAATTAAATTGTTACTAACCTTAATACCTATAAAATATTTAATATGATTATCTGGGATGTTGGTAAGGTAGGGAACCTTGTATTTCTATTTAATACTTTCTTCAATTTTAAAATATCTCATTTATCATGTTGTTATTCACTGTATTAACATATAGATCTTATCAAAATATACATCACGGTAGTCAAAAATTAGAAGTTATTTTGCTTAACACTTGGTGCAAATTTTCATTATCAAAGAACAAATACAAAAAAATAGCTCATATATTCTGATTATTATAGTTCATTCAAAGGACTAATAAGTAACAGATGTATAACTCTAAAAATCAGGTTTCAATACCAGTGGTGGGCATAACACAGATTGTTCATTGTGTAGCTTTGAGTTTAACTACTAACAAACAAAAAGTATTGACTATAAATTACATGCCATGATTTTTTTACAGTAGTTTTCAGCTGTTTACCTAGTAAATGTAGCAACTTTAATGAGATTTTGAGGAAATTTTAGTTTTTCTTAAATTTTTCATCTGAATTTATATTTAAGATATTCATAAAGGTAGATAATATTTGTACATTAATGAAAAGCAAATGCCCACAATTGTTATAGTTTTTTACATATGACTTTTTTGTTGTTGTTGCTGTTGTGTTACTTGCAACAGTGAAAATAATATGAAATGTATTTATTTCTAGTGCAATCTTCAGCGACATCCATCATGTTCCAATCTTAGACAGTGGAGAGGAGGACCTGTAAAAATTGATCCATTAGCACTTGTTCAAGCTATAGAAAGATATTTAGTTATTCGAGGATATGGAAGGATTAGGGTAAGATTATCTTTTCATTTAATAGTAACCACCAATCAGAGCATGCTACAAAAATAAAAATCAACGTGTCAACTTACGTGCCTTAGGTTAGTCTTAATTCCATGTACTAACTTAGATGCAAACTAATCTCTATAATAAAAATGTGATGATAAAAACAAATATAAGAAATGCAGTTATTATATAATTTATAAACTTGTAATAATAAATCAATTGTAAGTTTACTTTTTTGGTTTAAAGCCTTTATTTTTCAACTCTTTGTTGAATATTATCTTCACTAATATGATTTTATTTCTGTGATCGTAGCTATAATGAAATTATGAAAATTAATTTCAAACCCAACTTTCAGAATTATAGGAGATATATTTTGTAACTACACAGTAAGTTTAGAATTTATTTTTGTTGGTTTCACATTTGTTGTTTTTTGTGCTGAGGTTTCTTGATCTTCCTATAGGATGATGATGATGATGGCAGTGATGATGAAAACTCTGATGAAGACATTGATGATACCATGGTAAGTCTTAAAAGTTACTGACATACATGTTAAATAATATTGGTTAGTATTTTTTTCTTCTTAAAAATTTGATGTCCAAAGTATGAGATATCAAAAGTAAATGCCTTTTTAATAAAATTAATACAGAAAACACAAAATATGTGACTAGTAAAGTACTGTTTAATATATGTTGTTGCCCAGGTTAGTAGACTATACAATTACTGAAGTTTATTTATTAATAATTCTTATTACTAGGCACTAACTAGTTTATATCTTATATTTTGACTGCTAATCTGCCGCCATCTTCAGAAAGTCCCGAGAAAGGCTGTTGTATATGATATTACAGGAAACCCACAGATACTGGTAAATAGCTCAGCTATAAATACACCCTCTCAATATTGTACAAATGGATGTTATAGACTGCCTAGTTTCCAGATTGAATAAAATTAGTAATGCAGAAGATGCTAAGAAGAAGGAATAAAAAACATCAGTGCATTCTACCTTTAATAGATAGATACCCTGAACACTTGATAAAGAACATCCAGGATTGAATTATAACTACTACCACAACATCAGTCCATCTGGGACTTTTCTGAAGACAGCAGTCAAAATGTAGGATATGAATTAATTAGTGTAACTAGCACCTACTAATAACAAAAGATACACTGATGTGGTATCTAACTGATGCAACCTTACCCTATTCTTATTATTATAAATATTATATGAAAACATTCTTACAAATTTTTATTGTAAACCATGCTGTATATTTCATCATACTTTGTATCTGGGTTGTTTTCCTTATTGAATAACATCATATCACTAATAGGTTTAAGTATTGCCATCCTTCAGGTATATATATATATAGAACAAAACTTTGCTTGTTTCTAGACTGTCATGATGATTAACCAAGGCCAAGCCCATTATAAGCTTCAGTTTTTAACTGGGGACCACATTCTTCCATACAACTTTTGAAATAGAAAAAAAATCCCATGTTTCAGATGATATATATATTTAAGATTTTATCAGCTTCAGGAACTTGCAAACTGTAAACTAAAATGTGTGGATAGTTGAATTTTACAGTTTTTGACATCACCAAATTAAAGTTTACTGTTTGCAAATTATTTAAGCTAATAAAAGCAATGAACTTGTTGAAATCTTTGCATTTCCAGCTTTGTTTCATAAAATGACAAGTTTTATCTGCACAGGCAAACAGTTTGACAATTTCCACCATCTAAAATAATAATTGCAACAGGGGGGGGGGGATATCAATAATTAGGGCTAGCAGTTTTGAATTTTTTGTAATTACTTTATCCATAGCAAATGTTAATAAAATATACGTTAAAAGGAAATTTAAAATACGAACATTTCAGTTATAATTTTTATGTTGGAGATAATTTGAAGGAAGAGACCAAAATACAACTTTTCAAAACTTGGAAACTTCAGTTTTATAAAGGACAAAACTGTTTTTTTTTCTAGGCTGCTATGATGATCAACCAAGGCCAGGCCCGTCATAAGCTTCAGTTTTTGATTGGGGAAAATGTTCTTCCATACAACATGACAGTGTATCAAGCCATCAGACAGTATGGTGCAGGTGGTCAAGGTGCTGATGGGCATGAGACAGACACAGACTCGGAGAATCCTGTTGGATATGCTAACATCTGGGTGCAGACTCATACCATTTGGTGAGAATTTTTTTTTATTAACAAAATATGTGTTTTACTGTCATTAAGCATGATTATAATCCTGAAACCTTTTTATTCATAATGATTATGGACTGAAGTAATAATAATTTTATAAACAACTTGCAATTTGATGTGTAAAAGATAGACCAACCCTTATTGGTTTAAAACTGGCCTCAGATCAGCAATCGGCTGACCTTTTCTAATCTGCTATTGCAATCAATCATCAGCTGTACTTAATATACTAAATTCACAATTTCAACTTCTCAGTTACATAAAGACAACACATTCTTCACAATATGTGTAAATTCATATGCAGTGTCAGTGTATCTATAATAATAAAAGGGGCGTGTCTGTGTGTGTGACCACCATAGCATCAAGAGAAAAGAAACTAGAAATCTGAAATTTTGCACCCATACTAAGTGGACCCTGAAGGTGTGCACCTGGGTATTATTATTTATCCATGTGCATGCTCGTGCATACATACCCCATAGTATATCAGTTAGATTAACAACTTCTAATATATAGAAAAGCCAGTGCTTTTTGGTAACAATGCATTCCAACAATGGCTTTTATGTCATGTTGCTTAGTAACCAAAGTATAAAATGAAATGTATAAACAACATAACTGGAATAATATTTGTTGAATTCGTAATTTAGAGTCTCCATTTATTAAAGAGATTTGTTTTTATTAAAAACATCGGTGATACAACAAAAAATTTCTTAATTCAGAAACGATTTGTTTAAAATTGGATTCATATTTTTACTTTCATGGTAAATTTTATGCACTTGCTACAATATATCAACCTAATAACCCATGAGAAGCTGGCTACATTTGCTGGTTGTTTAATAAAAAGCAGTATTGTTTGCTAGTATTATTTGTAATATGGACAGTGTGTTAATGAACTGTACCTATGGTCCCTTGAAATTGGTTATCACAAATGGCTTACATGATTATTTGTTTTAATTATTGTTATGGATAATGTTAAAAATCATATTTCATTGTAGTACTCAGTAGTAGTGTCTAACAGTTGGTTTTGTTCTACATGTCGTGTTTTTGTCATCTGTTATGTTCCAGATATGATTCAGTTACTGATGTCATCTCTTTCATTATTGTTTAACAAGAAATTTTGTTCTAAGTATTGTCCAATTTTATGTCATATACTAATGACTAGCATCTGACTGTGTATTTTGTTCTTGGTGCTATCCAGTTTCTGATGTCAAATCTCAGTATTCTCTAGTATTTCACTATTTTGTTTTAGGTCTTATCCACTTTTTAATGTTAGCTTTTATTAAGCAAGCTGTGACTCTTTTTTGGGAGGTTATAGATAGTATTCAGTTCCTGATGTCTGCCTCTCACTGGAATATAACTCTCCAATTTCTGATAATGACTCTTAATCACCATTATCTACATGTTTTTTCTTTTTAGGTACCGTCCAGTTCCTGATGAAGACCCATCATCGAATAAAGCCATTGTAAGCAGTAGTAGCAATTCCATTCATCGTTCTCAGGGTATATCTTCAGGCTGTTCTAGTCGCCGCAACAAGGGAGCTTCAGGTGGAAGAACCTCACCCAAGAAAAAAAGTGATGAATTATGGAATGGTGAGTGAGAGTAGTATCATTCATTATATAATGACTCTATAACTTGTTCTAATGAAACCTTATTTCTCAGAAAGTTATAAGTTAAAAAAGAATTATATTTTCATTTACTCAAAATTCCATTCTTTCTGCCATCTTACAGGAAGTGTTTGAAACCTTAAATTCTAGAAAACAGAAGAAATGGATACTTTGTTATGCTTAAATCATTTCTGTCTTGTGTTTTATTATACAGAAGGACTAGTTCCAGAATCAGTTCCTTTACTTTCCTTCTACTTAACTGCTTCACTCCCAGATTCATTTACAGTTCAAGATCCTTCATTAGAAGTGATATGCCTCCTTAGGGTGATCCATGCTTTATGTCGTTACTGGGGAACACTGTATGATGTGAGTAATCTTTCATATTGCTTCTGAGGTTTTTTTTATGACATTAAGATAATTTTCCACTATCATGTCTGTAACACTGTTGGAGCACTCAGTTTGTGATCATATGTTGCTGATATTAACTGATCTCAGTGCAAGAGAAAGATGAATTTTACTATCCTAAAACTATGCATTGTATTAATTTCTAAATAGTCAGTAGGTGTTAAGAGATTACTTAAAATGTAACTAAAAGTTTGATTCCTTACAGTTTCAGTGGAATTCATTTTTTTATCTTATTGAATTCCCAGTAAATAGTCATTAGGTTTTTAGCTGTTAAATTAGTACAATTAATTTTGCATGTTTATGAGTACATTTCTAACTTACTTTAGATGAGCTGTTGGAATTCAGCCATTTCCCAGTCAGAGTTCCTGAACAGCAAGTTAACAGCCAAAGCTAACAGACAACTTCAAGATCCATTAGCTATAATGACTGGTAACCTACCCCAGTGGTTGTCTCAGTTAGCTTACGTTTGGTAAGTACACTTTTGTAATTTTTTTATATTTATTAGTACTCCTCCTACTCTTTTGTCAACTTTGAAAAATAATAATTTCCTTTTTATGCATCATGAATTTTTGTATAAATATTTTTAAAATACCAAAAAAAAAATTAAATTATGTTCAGAGTATTTCAGCATGTTTAATATTTCTTCAGTTTAAGGTAGGTTAATGTGTGTGTTTGTTTTTCATAGTTTAAAGACTATGTAACCATATACCCTATATTTTGTTCTTTAGCCCATTTCTCTTCCCCTTTGAAACTCGGCATTTACTGTTCTATGTGACTTCTTTTGATCGAGACCGAGCACTCCAGAGGTTGTTAGATATGACACCTGAACTGAGCAGTAGTGACAGTAGCGAGAGGGTGACACCACGATTAGACCGAAGGAAGGTAGTTGTCTTTTTCACCATATATATGTCACTTCTGTTTATTACTTAAAGCAAATTTTTGTTTTCAGTAGTTCATTGAGAGCTGTTATTCTAGGTTTTCTGGATTTCCTTATCAATTATGTATTGAATTGAGTAATATATCTTTCCTATCACACAAATGATTTGCTATGTTCAAGCCTCAATTGTTTTGTAATGTCTAGGATAAACTTTTGATATTAATATTGTTCCAGAAGTGTATGTACATTTCATAATTTGAACATGAATTGATCCTAGTTAATATTTATTTATGTTTTCTCTGTATTGTTGTTGGATACTTTTCATTGGATTTTTAACAATATTTGTGAAACAATACATCTGTGTTGTGTTAACAAAGTGATAAAATTTAAGGTAAATTTGGATGAAAATTATCCCCAGTTTTGAAATGCATATGAAAATGATTTAGTTGTTGTTTATTCTACATTCTGAAACTCGTGAAAATGGAATTTTATGCATTATTATTTTAAAAAATCACATTTCTTTTAAATGTATGAAAACTCAATTCCCTTGTTGATCTCAAAATTATTTAATGTATATGTATTATCTGCCATGTGTTTGTGGTGTATTGACAATTAATGGACACTGTTTAGTTTGTAAGCCTGTACTCCGTATACTAATCTCACGCAGTCATTTTGATGTGAATCCACATCCAAGTTGTACTTGAACCATAAAAAGACCTCATAGCAAACATCTGGATGTTTTACTCGTGAAGAACCATCAAACAAATAGAGATCAGCCATTCACAACTAGTTACTGCAGATTGGTCCAGTGTTTCAAAGTGTCGTTAGCAGAATGTGAACTATTTTCAAGCCAATGGAATGGTTTGTGTGGATACCTGAACAAAGCAGACCATCATCCACAACAGCAGCAGATGGCTTCTATCTGTCAATTCTGGCTTGCCTTAGTCATAAGGTGGAGGCTCTGAGGCTTAAATCAAATGTTTACAACTACATCTGAACACTCATTATACAGATGGTTAGAAACAGATTTGAAAAGGCCATCCTTTGTCACATTCTCAATTACATTCTGTTCATAGCAAGGCACAAAACAACTAACCAGCAATAGTACCAAGAACAGGGTGAGTTGACTAGAATCACTTGGGGCAATTTTCTTTTTACAGATGAGCCATACTTCGCCATCCAGCCAGATAACAGGCTTACACACATTTAGCGAAAATCTTGATTCAGGCCTAACAGTGTTCCACGGGAACATGATGCATATGGGAGTGGTGGAAGTATAGTGTGAGCAGGAATAAATATTGGTGAATGTACGGACTGGTACATCAAGCAGAATTTTACCATGAATGTTACACGTGATAGAGAATATCTTTTTTTGGTTGTCATGTTCTAGTGCAATTGACCCCAACTTCAGCCTAGTGTATGATAATGCACACCCCAACCATACTAAACTAGCAGTTACATTTCTTTGAAAAAGTAATTAACCATTTAGAGTGAATTTCACACTCAGCAAACTTCAGTGTCATCAAGTGTGTATGAAATGCTCTTGGATGATGTATTATATTTCTTCAAGTGGCTCCGGGCATAAAGATGTTCTGAAAACAGATCTTTCAGAAGGGTGGTTTAGGATAATTCAGTACCTCATCATCATTTTCATTTTAAACATCTAACATTAATACCAGATTATCCTTGCTATTCATTGTGACCATACTTCATATTGACATGAAATGTCATGAACTTCTAAGATGTAAAACTGCATAATCACCGGATGAATTATTTGCATATTAGTTAATGTGTGGGAATATTAGATAAAGTATTACAAATTCAGATTGTCATTTAATAGTTTTAAACAGTAGTATATATAA